GGTCCAGCGGTGCACACTGCGATCGGATCCTTGCGGTTGAGGTCCAGGGTGCACACTGCGATCGGATCCTTGCGGTTGAGGTCCAGGGATGCACACTGCGATCGGATCCTTGCGGTTGAGGTCCAGGGGTGCACACTGCGAGGGGATCCTTGCGGTTGAGGTCCAGGGGTGCACACTGCGATCCGGAGCTGGCCAGACAAGATCGGCGAAGCAGATTGGCGATGAAGATTGGCGAGGCGATGAAGATTGGCGAGGAAGGAAGGAAGGAAGGAAGGAAGGAAGGAGGAAGAACAACTGTGATAAAATCTAACAACCCTCACCTGGCAGGTGGGGAAAAATGGATGAATGAACCCTGGAATCTGGAATGGTGATGTGAAACCCAACCCCTTTCGCACCCCTTGCGGCCATCCCTTGGGCCAAGCCACTGCACATTACTTTGCACCGCGGCCTGTGTCGCTAAGGCGGTCAAGGCGCCCAACACGCCACCGTCGCCTCAGCCGAAACGACACGCCCAGCTCTGCATGCGCGACATGCCCGGCTCTGTATGCGCTCGACCCGCCATCCCTGGCCTGTGGGGTCCGGGTTGTTCAAGTACCTTCCAGCGGAACAGGCAGAAACTTACAATCGCGCAGTTTGGTTCTGGGATATTTTCATATGAGCATCCAGGATATGGGATGATATGGGTGCGTCTGGTCATGTCCCTGGTAAAAGAATCTTTCGGCCTTTGTGCAGTGCACCTCCGACAAAGATGGTCCGCGACAAATAGTACTACCGTCACTTTTTGGGCAAGCTATATATGCTGTGCTGCTTCTGATTGGTGTCAACGCGGTTCCTATCCAATCTATGCCTGCCCAAAATGATCGGAGTTCGCTCACATTTGCCTCGTTTCACACCAGTATCTTTTGGCCAGTCTCTGCCTCTGTTGTGGATCTAAATCAAGAATAGCCAAAACAGACTCGCTTCTTTGCGCACTCTCCTTCTTCTGTTCTAGAAGCTAGGCCCTTGTTGTTTTGCCTCGACATCGACAGGGAAACTAAGGTCCACAACAGGTGAAGGCATCGTCATCCCCAATTGGTCACTTCGGTCGCTTCGATTTCTCATTCCAGTGATCGCGCACGCAGCCACCTCGATGGACCCGTGGCGCACGTGAGGGTGGCATCCGCCATGGCCGACAGGTCGGAGGAGGGCATCGCGCCACGCATAGCGTTGAAGTAGGTGCTGCCTGGGCAGCGGTGCGACATGGGCTGGCTGACGCACCCTGACATACCCTGATACTGGAGCATCCGTAAGGTTGTAGTTGACCAGCACATGAAGCTGGAGATGTACATCATGGTGCAATTGATGCTGTCGACGGACAAGAGATCTGGAAGACCGCTCCAGAATGGGACACCAATGAGGGGTCTTTACAGCACAGTTTGTGGCCGACCCCTGTGTTTGTCTGTATCTGTGCTGGGATTGGTTCATCATCAGCAGCACCTAGGAATCAAGACCCAAATAGGGGTGGTAAAAGCTCCACCGAGGAAAAGCTTGTTATATAAACAACCTTAGAGCCAGGAATTTTATTCCCTCTCAATTTGCCAATCTCGGCTGAGCACGTGCTTTTCACCCGAAACGAACTACCTTGCAACGGTCTTCAAATGCCAATAATGGTATATAAACACGAGGATATGAGCTGAGTAACGGGTGGGACCTGGTAGCACGAATGCAGGGCTCTCAGACCAGCGGCCAATCTTCCAGACTTGCGGGCAATCTCTGAGCTGCTGTTCTTCAAATATCACACAGGTTTGTTGGGCCAAACAGCCAACCGAACCCCAATTGATCTTGGCTACATGAACATCTACAAGCACATCTGATCGTTTGAGGTATGGTTGGACCTGCTCTATGGATTCGTAGCTTCATCTTTGGACATAATTCGGGCCATCAATAGCTCCAAATCAAAAATTCAGCTTCCCTTAGCCACCCACTGGCCTTTGCTCACACCGTCAATGCCTGGGTTCATGCAATGTTGATTGAATCCATGATCTGCAAACAATCAACATGGAGGTGGTGCTGGGCATGCCTCATATCTCTACTGTTGGCAATTCGTAATTAATTGCCCGTTGTGGCAGTCGGCAACAAGAAGTACAGTAGAACTCATAGCAGCAAGAACTGGAATACCTTGACGAGGCAAGCTCTCTAACTTGTGTTCATATTGTACATAATTTATCGTAGAGCTTCACTTGCTTAAAGCTTGACTTGGGTGCACTTGGATATGAAATGCTCTGTAGCTTTTCCCATTGCATGTTTATTGAGGAAGCAACTGGAATTGCCCCTGCCCCTGTCCAAACCACCAACATTGGCTGCAGTCCCTTGAACTTCAAAGTTCTTGGAGGCCCCCCGCACGCAGCACCCAAACTCACTAGCTAGTTCTGCCGATGGGTGGGAGGATTCCACAAGTGTTCGTTTTCAATGAACCTGCGAACTTCACCCTATTTCACCTGGCTTGGTGGGTGAAAAAGAAGAGTATACAGTATTCTCTTGTTTCCCCTTGGGGTTTTGATGTTCCTGTCATTGCTTCGAAGAAACCTTGCTGTGGAGCTTCTAGCAAAGTCCTGCAATAGTCTAGAAGCCTTGTAACATTGCATTACCCTTCACATCTTTGTGTAGGATACAGCTTCAAAACGCCTGAACCCCCGGGTTCGAACAGTTCGGTTTAAGACGCTGGAAAGCAAGTGGGACTGGGAAGAGGAAACGAGAGTCCACGGTGTCCCAGTTGTGGTGAACACAGGTGTCCCGGTGAAGGTTTGAACATGTTTGATCGCCAAGCGACTCTCTTGATCCACCATGTCTTTCAGCACATCCGCCTCTCAGTCTGGGGTGCGGGCGCCATGAAGAAGAGGCGTCCGGCGGAAGATGAAATGAGAAGAAGTGGTCTTTCTCCAACCATCTCTTCCGTATGGAGTTAAGGCCACCAAAATACCCAGCTGCCCCTCGTAATGTTGGATTTACCTTACCCATCAAGCCACATCCACAGTTAGGTCCGGGAAGTCCGGGCCTTCCGCAAGCTCACTTGTGCAAGAAGGCCTTGGCACCACGAACATGTCAACGCCAAAAAAGAAACCCTGAAAGCCTCAAGCTGACACGTTCCTCCACCACAGCCGAAGCACCGAAGAGAGGCCATCCGGACAAAGCAGTGGCCACCCACGGGATGTCCAGCAACAAGGTGAGCACCGGGGAAGCAAAGGCCTCCACAAAGGTCGTGCTGGCACCCCGTTTCCTCAAAATGTCCCCTACAGATATTGAAGGTTCTTGGTTAACATCCTTAAATGTTTATACCGAGTGCTCTTGATGTTTCTGCAGGTCGCCATAAGAATTTGGTGATGTGTGGCGCGCACAAAACGTACTGGAGTGATAGAAGGTGCGGGATGCCAACAACAAGCACCCGTCAGTCATCCCCACATCATATCAAGACAACATAATTCATCCTGCAAACTATATACAATCCAATTGGCAACCAACTGACTTAAAAAGCTCATCAGTCTCAAACCTCCCACCAAAGTGGACGCCATCGTCTCACTTTCCAGCGCAGCGCCTCCCCTGCGCTTTGCACCGTCTGTGCCACCGCGAAGGGATCTGAGACTAAGCAAACCTCGAGAGGGCGTCGATCATCCGTGGAAGAGATCCGTCGAAACGGAGCGAGTCATGTCAAATGGTGTGTAAGTCACCTGTCAGGGACAGCCAGTGCTAAAAGTTGTTTTTTTTTAGGGCTTTCATGGTGTTTGGAGTTTGGACATTTTTGCACCATGTCATTCTTCAGAAGGCCAAAATTATATTGATTCCGAGCTCAAACACCGTCAAAATGATGGTCATTTGCATCAACCCTATGCGCACAATGATGCCAGAAAGACCGACAAGAGCTGCAGCGCCAGCTTTCCTTGAAGCACAGCCCAGTGGTGGTGGGACAAAGGACTCAATAACAAAATGACACATTCATGAACATAGCCATCGGAATCCAATGATCTTGATAGCCTCCGTTCCGAACACAATCGTGGGGTTGTCTCTCCAATGTGTTGTAGGACCTTCGAGCATTGGATGATCAAAGGCTTTCACTCAACAAAGATCAAAAAAGTAAGTGAGCAATTAGCCTTAAGCAGCACTACTTCCTGAACATTGGGTGCACGTTTAAATTGTTTTTGTTCATTTTGTTTTCGGAAATGTGTTTCAAAAGCATTGGAATAGAGCAGGTTTCTTATTAGTACCTAGCTAATTACAGTAATTTCGTGTCCTTAGCCGAGACACAGGTGTCGTAGCTGGCCAAATGCATTGGAATAGTGCAGGTTTTATATTAATTGCTAGCTGATTAGACTAATTTGGGAGCTGTCGTAGCTGGCAAAATACATTGGAATAGTGTAGGTGTCAGAGAAAGTCCTACGTTAGCAGAGAAACAGTAAAGAGAAAGAGAACCAGCACAGGAGGCATATATGATTGGTTAGAAGCTTATGCCCCGGGGAGTTCACCTTAAAATATTGATTTCGTGGCAGGCGCGGGTGTCGGAGATGAAGTGCCGATTTCGTGGCGTGGGGGGGGTGGGGGGGGGCGCAGCGCCAGCAGCACACCAGATCCAAAGGTTAGAAAGCAAACAAATGGAAAAGCAAAAACAATAAGAGAAAGGAGAACAGCTGCCAAAGCAACAAAAGCAACAAAAGCAAAGAGCAGAAAGACAAAAACACAAAAAGCAGAAAAGCAGCAGAAGCAGAAAAGCAGCAAAAGCAGAAAAGCAACAAAAGCAGCAGAAGCAGAAAAGCAAAAGCAGAAAAGCCAAAGCAGAAAAGCAACAAAAGCAAAAAAGCGGCAGAAGCAGAAACGCAGCAAAAGCAGAATCCGAAAAACAAAAATCAAAAAAATGAAAAAACATCCCGAAAAAAAACGCCCCTCCCTGAACATTTAGACACTTAATGACTTTGTGGAGCTTACTGCTGAGATGCGCATCAAAACTGCTCGTTCCAATGAAACTTCTGGCCATGAGTCCATAGCCACACTCGTTGGTGGAGCTGCTGTCAAAGCCGCCGGCTGCCTGAAGTAAGCAAAATCCGGCCTCAACCTGATAGATTGAGCAACATTATCCTGCAAAGTCCCGGAGGGCTGATGCATGGGCAAACGGTTTTTGAATGTAAACATGGCCCCCCTCGTGTCACGTGTCTGGTGTTTTGTCCTGAAGAACTTCATAGGTCCACACCGTAGCCACACTCTTCCAGCAAAATGGCTCTAAAGGTGGTCTAGATGGACCCCCATCGAAATAAATCATCGAAAAACACATGCAGGGGTTTGCGCCATCTACTCTAAAACCACTGTAAATGTGGCCCAAACGGCCGGAGTACGTCGCAAAACTCCCACCTCACTGCAAGTCTGCTGGATATTTTCTGCCAGATGTCGAAGTCTCTCGCTGTCTCCATGACCACAAACTGGTCGGAATCCTTTTCCAGATCCTTTTTCTCACCGTCCGCCATCAAGTCCCCATCTCCATCGACCCTTATCTCCAGCTGCCCCGTCGTTCGGCACCGGCCTTCACCTGCGCGATGGCCTGGTCCACCGCGGTCTTCACTTGGGCCTCCGGGATCCTCGGTCGAAGCGCCCGAGGAAGGAACGTGCACGAAGACTCTCGTCGGAAGGGATCGAAATTCATGTGAATTTCACCACAGTGATGAAGTGACGACTAATACAATAAATGTGGAAAACATTGGAAAACTAACTCATAAATGCACCTCTTTCTCAAAGCAATCAACACGTGGCCATTTCAGAAACAAACCTTGTTTGCCTGGAGATGCGGCATCGAAAAATCCAAAACTCCCTGGTCATTGTGCCATATTGTGCCCCGCAAAATAGGGACCCAGCCGACACTGCGGCTGATTTGCTCACACAGAAATACCCATATGGAATATGTTGAAACCAGCCTAGCATCAAAACCAGCCAGGAAAATGGAAGAAATAAACATACCAATTCTGATGGGGTTTGCTAGCTGGGTGAGTAATTCCTCCCCCCAAAGCAGGCCTGGATCCAAGATGGTGAGTCTTCAATACATTCCCAAATTACAACCCACGAGACATTGATACTATCTGCATCTATCTGCAAATGAGCAGCGGATTGAACCTGAGATCACCGCAATTCGGGAAAAAGCAACGTCACACGTGGATGGGTCTTCACAAGGAGACCCCTTGGATGGGTAGTGGCACTCATGCATTGCGGGCTATGGAATGGAGGTCATTGTTAAGCCACTTCGGACCAGAAGGGTCCACCTACTGTTACTTTGTGTGGGATTTGGGGCTTCGAATTAGCTGATCACTTGAGGATCGGGACAACAAAAATGGCCGTGGCATGCCGTGGCCGTGGTTTGCCTTTCCAGAAAAGTGCGATCCACTATGATCACTCAAAACAACCCAATCTGGGCATTCTGAAGTAAAAGTGTGATCGATAGCAGGTGTCACCACACAAAAGAACAACACAATTGTACACATGCAATTGTTGATATGATAGTTGTTTCAAACATAAATGACGCATCAACCTGCCGGATGCCATTCGTCCTAATTCTTCCAGCTGAGACAGCCTTCTCCATCAAGCTCGGCTGAGACGTACCTTCTTAGAAACTCTTGGCCGTCTGAAGGGCTGGACCCTCATCACTTTGTGCCCCCCGTGTAGGTCTGAACCACCCTCATCAGCACGTCCTTCAGGTGTTTCGTCCACACAGCTCTTATACTAAGCTGCAAGGCCCCAGGAGTGTCCTCAAGCAGCGCGCGAAAGCTCTTCTTCACCTCGCTGACGTGCCGTGCTCCACCAGCACAGCGAAATCAGAGATTTGACACTCCGAGGGGAGAGCTATGTAAGGTGCAACTGCACTCATCATCGGCTTCAAGATCTTATATGTTGGAAGTGGATGGCAGGAATCCTCAGGTTCAAAAAATAACTCTCTACATCCCTTCCTCATGACTTCTGACTTGGACCTTCCTCACTCCACATCCTAAGTCCGGTACCAACCCCTCCCTCACCCTCCAGTCGCGGGACACTGCGGGACGTCTTCGCGGGACTGCTCCCTTGACTTCCGACTCGCAGACCCTTGACTCGCCCGGTGCGGCCGGGGCGCGTTGGACCAGACCGCCGCATGGGGGCCCTTCTGACACTCCAAGTCTTCGGGCACCGCTAGCTGCGCCCTGTGGGCGAGCGACGCGAGCCGGTGGGTTGGGATCGGTGGTCTGGAGGGGGCAAGAACAATGTTTTTGCCGGGTGCAGTATTTGGTATGGTACTTGGTTCAGGCAAAATGAGATGTGCAAGACTTTCTTGAAGCAAAGTGTGGGGAGTCATTTTGGACCAAGTTGTTCAAAGCGATCCTTGCTAGGCTGTTAGCTGTTAGGTGTTTCTTTTTGTTGGAGGTTCTGTGATCATGCGGGCCGAGGCTTTCAGATTGCCAAGGAGTCTCTTTTTTAAATAACACCCAGCGACTGGCCGATTTCTGAAATCTTGCCCCAGATTGCCCAACTAACTGCTGCTCAAAAACCATGCTGGCCGCAGCAAGAGCAAGAGCCAAATCACCTTAGAGACGGCGATCAATACAAAGACTTCTTCGTCGCGGATGATCGGCTTACATCTTCCAGACCATGCGTCAGGGCGGTCACCTCGGTCACCGTATACCATTGATGGGATTTCTTGGGTGATTTTAACGCACCCTCAAAGCATCCCTTTTGAGACGGACACCGCCTTCACACTATGAATTCCGTCTCATTCTTCCAATAGCATCCAATAGCCGTACTTGAGTGTTCGCTACAACATCCAAGCAGGACGGTAATACTTGCAGAGTGGTACTCAATCCCCGTCTGACATGTGGTCGGAACTCGTCAGCTGTAGCACACATCCCAGCCAGGCACTGACATTCTGCAGCTCGGCAGCTCTGACTAGCATTCAACGCATGAAGCACTCCCACACAACTACAACCGCTACGGTAGTTGTCCTTCTTCTGGCAAAGTCTGTCAAAGCCCAGCACCAAAACAAAGCTTTTTCGGGGTCACCCAGCTGGAATTGATTGGTGGTGTCTGGGGTAATTATCCCCAAGCATGCTACTGGCTAGACTCGGCTAGACGTTGCTGGAAAGCACTGCAACGTCCCGAGTCGGATGAAGCTGGCAAAACACAGCGCCACGGTGTCCAAAGGTTGGACTGATCTGGACTCCATTCTCCGAAGTCTTCCATATTTGGAACATCCAAACAAGCATTAAACAAAACACACACCAGGCATATGAGGTGACCTGGTCTGACCCCAGCCCCTGCGACATCCTGGTCTGACCCCGCCACGAACCCGGTGCTGCCCAGCTCGCCCGCATGATCAATGCGCAGCTGCCCAGCGATGCCGCTCTGAGCCCCCACAAGCTACGAGGCCCCGGGGCAAAAAATTACAGTATCTTTTTTGATACATGACGCTTTCAAAAATGAAGACATGGAGACCCATTGCTTGGCATTACGGCTCAAATGAGTCAAGTAAATTCTTCTGCACTCGTAATTATGAGGTGTTTGCTCTATATGTATCAATTATCTTATCTAGTTAAGGGTAGGTCTTTGTATTCCCAAGTTGCAAATGGATGCAAATGTCCCAACCGACAAAGGAACGCTCCGCGGACAAATCTCCGGTTCTGCCTTGCCGGGGCTGATCTCGGCCGCGCCCAGCATGAAGTAGACATAAACAAACCTCAAAATGTGGAGGTATTCCGGCTTCTGGATGGTTGACGTAAGAGTGAATCAATGTTGAAAAGCTTTCAGGAGGCCCAGGAGGCCAACATAATTATTAATGGAACATCCAGGCCTAGAAACAACATGACTGTCATCCACTGTAGGCCTTTGGTAGGGAGCATTGACAACGGCAAACCAATTTTGGCTTGGGACCACCCAACTACACCAACTGGACGAGTCTTGAGATGAACTGAAGTGCAAAAGTTTCGGGTGTCTTATGTTTCTCGCAAGATTTGGATTGGTTCTTGCAATGTTTGCCATTGGTGAAGTGCTTGAACTCTCCTATCCACAACTATAGGAAATCTCCAATGTCAACGACCCACTTTCGACCTGGCGGACCTGGTGACCGACAAAACCAGCGGGCGCACGAAGCGAAGCGGAATCGGCACGTTTTCGCCTTCGCGGGACGCGAAACTTCCTGCGTACACTGCATCTTCGGGGATCGGTAAGCCTGTTTGGTGAACCCGGCCCCAAATCGGATTCCGATCCTCTGAGAGGTTTAGGGGGAGAGGAAAGTTGGTTGGAAATTGCAGGGAGGAAATGACCCCAAACATGCTGGGGTCCTGGGACCCCAGAATAGAAGTCTAAGTGAGCTAGTGTGGCTTGTCTGGTTAGCACAACAGATGGAGATGAACTTTAAAATTCATGACACATGAATGCAACTAAGATCAACTAAGTACACAGTATACATAGCCTGGTATTGTAAATTCCTGCAGTGTGTGAAGGGACCACACGTGGTATCAAATCCTAACACTTCGAACCTCCCCATCATCTCCCGAGCTTTCTCCAGTCTATAAACTACATCTTCTGAACACTGAACATCTGAATATATCTGAATAAAGGTATGCTTAACAAAAACTATACTTCAAGCATGGCTAAAGTTGAGAATTCCAGGTTTGTTGAAATCCGTTTTGGCCGTTCAGCAACGCTTGGCTCATGATCCACCCCTCAACGCATGCCTTCCCCCACTTCATGAGGCGGCATGAGGCCAGCTTGGCCAATGGCCAGCTTGGACTGTACACGAAGCCAGCTTGGCTGAGCCTCAAGTAAGGCCTCCTATAAAATGCATCGGTTGCTCAATGGCACTGTAACGATATTAAAATGCCCGCCCTCAGCCTTCCAATCATTGAACAAGCTTCACAATGCAACGTTTGCTGATCTTCCTGCTGCTTTGTCAGTCAGTGCTGACTAAACAAACACCCACAGGGCAGCCATCAAATCCGAAAGGATTCCGAATTCCGGCAACTATTGCAACTGCTTCCTGAGATGCTGCAAATGGTTCAATACTGCATCATATGCACATGAGAACCTCAACCCACCGCCTTCAGTCAGGCATCGCCTATGCCGAGTGCGACCCGGTCGTATGACCCTTGGGAGAAAGCCTTTTTGGGAGCTGACTTGGGCTGGCTGACTGCATTGACTCCACTTCTGCACACGAGTTTGGGCGACCTCGCAGTCCCTTTCCCCCCTTTTCCCTGCAGCCGCCGCTGTTCGCGGCCGACGCTTGAGGCCAAAAACGAACCACTGCGGGCCTGGATAGCGCTCCAGGAGCTCGAAGGAGGAGAACATGCCGACGAAGGCGGACCGCTGCTTGAACTCGACCTGAACGGTGCCATGCAGGGCCACTGGTGCGAGAAGGAGCTATGGGGCACTGCCTAGCCATATTCAGTTACTGTAAGAACTAGATAGAGCACTCAAAAATAGCTGAAACTGACCTGCTGACTTTTGACTGAAAAAGAGATGGAGCTGATCAAGCCAGCTCAAGTAGTAGAAAAGGCCTACCTGTCCAGGGTTCACGCGCATGAGGAAGCATGATGAAGCTACTCATTCAAGAAGCTACTGGATGCTAGTATTGTTTGTTCCCTCCCATTCTGTTCATGTGCTTCATCTTGTTGGTTTCACAGTCCACCAAAGGGTCAAACACCCCTGCGGCATTCTATTCAAGGAGTGGCACATAGTGGCACCGTGGAGAGGGGAAGAAATGAGAACTTTTAGGACCAGTTCGCCCCTCAGTTCAGCTCTTACAGTCTCACGTCGAAATATCGGGGCCCAGTTTGAAGCTGCGCTTGGGCCAGCATATGAGGCCAATATGCGCAGCAAATGTTTCGGATACGGTTGCAAGGTGCCAATGGCGGCTCCAGCATGGCGGAGAGCAATGGGGCGGCGCCCAAGTGTCCAAGGGCTTGGCCATGAAGAACCCAACTAGCTCGGGGGTACATGAACAGCACAGCTTCCCCTACTGCATGCTCAGCTTCCTTCACCTAATTACCATGCTCGTGTTGGGCGCCAGACCGTTGGACCCACACCGGTTTAGGGTCCACCGGCACCAAGGCACGTCCATCGGGATGAAGGGGGGATACCTCGGGAGCTTGAGCTGGTTCGTGGTGTTCATGGTCCGAAAACGACGTCGTGGATGACATGGGGATGACCATTCAACTGGTGAAGCTGGTCTATCCATGGACAAATACAAACCTCAACACATTCGAGGACAATCCTCAGCAGTGTCACATAGTGTCACTAAACCATCTTGTTCACTCTATATAATTGAAATGTGATCTCAAATTAATCCAACAACCCTTGCACAACATTATAGTTTCATGCGCTAGCTCTTTTCGGCAACAAATGAGACCAGCTACTTTATGTGGTCTTGGACGTGGCATATTACTTACTGTATTACATATTGCATCTGAACTTGGCTGAAATTCCTCACCAAAACCCACCAAGACATGGCTCATCCTCAACCACGAGAACAACTCATTCCAAAACATCAAATGAGAGAAGGTCAATTCTCACAGTGGCAAGGTGTCACAAGTCTGATGCGAATCCAAGAATTGGGAAGGAACTTCAAGCTCTGAAAGCTTCAAGCTCTGCCTGCAAGCAAGGCAATGCTGCCGGATTTCGCAAATGATGAGCCTTCCAGGTGTCCGTTCACCATTGCCTGGATGATAGTTGACATAGTTCATGATAGTTCAATGGGCGCCCACATGGATTTGGATTCGGCCCACGGCCATTTCGTCATATTTCGTCTGTTTCACCTTCCGTACATGCCGTCTTCTGTGCTCCCTGTGCTCCTCCTCTTCCACCCCCAACTCCATCAACCACCCCACCATCCACTCCACCACAACCCACACCAAGCGACTTCGCCTCGGCCTGCCGCACTGTCTTGTAGCCCTCAGGCACCTGCACCTCCTTCGGCCGTTGGAAGTCGAAGTGCTGGAAGAGCGTCACCTCGGTACGCAGTGCGACGCGGTGCGACGCGGTGCGAGACGGTCTTGCGACGTGGGAAGGTCCGAATGGAGGTGAAAAGGACACCGTGATCTCAAGCTATTTGCATGTTGGTCTCAAGTCTTTGTGAAGTATATTGGCGATGATTAGTGCGAATCGCGGTCTTCAAGCGTCTTGTGTGTGACAGTGCGTTGTTTTTCTGTGTTTGAGTCTTCCGAACACATCACTACAATTGATGGAATAAATGTCAAGACCAACTCCTTGACCAGAAAACGGTGGAGTCTTAGACTCGCCGCTATCTCGTATTCCGTGAAAACTCCAAAAGATCGCCCAAGCTGCCATGGTCACCTTCTGCTCTACCACCGTGAACTCGCGCCCGATGCACGCGCGAGGTCCCACAGCAAAGGGGATGTAAGCAAACCTCGATCGACGAACCCAAGCGACGATAGGTTTCCTCTCGTTGGAGGAGATTTGCGTTCATGTCCACCAGCCGCACCAGGGTTCTTTGTGGAAAGGAAAAAGACCTGAAAACCTCCCAAGGGCCCTCTGAATGTCCAGAATGTTAATTTGTCGGGCTCGATCAGTGCTGTTCGCATCACACCGGGCATACCGATATGGACAAGTGACAAGTCCACGAAGGTTTTTGTGTTGGTGAGGGTCGCAAAAAGAAGAGCAAAAGAAACTGCTTTGCACGACCAGTGTTTCTCTTTCAAGCATGCGGATGTAGAATGATTTGTTTGTTCCTGGAGTCTGCAAATGTCTAAACTCTCTATTTTAACGTGTCCCAGGATCCTGCAAATATTTCAGCAGCCCTGAGTCAATTCAAAACCTTCGCTAAAAACAAAGAAACTTGAAAAAACACATGTGTGACATCAGCGAAGAACACATGTGCAAGGCAGCCTATGTTCCAGCCTTCAGTCGGTTTCTCCTCGCCATGCAAAGGGATCAACATGGATCAACAGTCTTCATTGGTCACCCCTTGCAGCCCAATCACTTGTCAGGAGCTCCATGCTCCCATCGCTCTGGGCGGAATTCATAGGAATCCTCTCCCCAAAGAGCCTTGCTGTAGTGCAAGCCTTGCATGAATGGCTGGGCTCAAAGATCATGCAACGGTTTCAGATGTACATGTGACTTGCATTCGGCATGCCTGCTGCTTGTCCTGTCTAGCTTCTTTGACCTGGCGTAAAGGAGTTTTTTACTCTCTACTTTGGTGGCCTTGTCGAACGTCTTCAGCACAAAGTGAACTTCCACCCATGTTGACAAGATTCCAATTCAGCTGCCACTGCTGAAGGGGTGCACTGCAAGTTGGAAGGGGCTCAACTCACTCAGGTTGTACAAAAGAACACCTTTCTTGAACAGTAGCAGTAGCATGTGTCAATACTGATGCTTGTCCTGCGTGACCTCCTAAACAAACATGTGGAACAGCTTTAAAGTGGGACACGCGACCTCCCTTGTTCCCGCAAATGATGGTTAGAAACAGCACTTTCTCAAGCATAGATAATCCTATATCGACTCTTACAGGGCAATGGGGGACACCGTAACCACTACCACTTCACTCGACATGCCAACAGGACCTCTGCTCCCTAGCGTGGGACCTTGTTAGAACCGTCAGAAATTCCCAGCCAAGTTGCCCATGGCCTCGGCTCGGCCAACGACTCTCACAGCTTCTGATCTTGTTGCTGCATTTGACGAAATATATTTCGGTGGTGGCCTATTAAGATCAAATAACGGCCTCACTGTTGATGAATAGATCCGTTGAGGTCGTAATTAAAAACATTAAAGACAAAAAACACATGACTAGCACCATCCAAGCCGGTTCATGTCAGTCTCATAAATCCATGGCGTTCAATACATACCTTCCCCTTATGATAAACATGCCGTTGGTGAAGCGGCACGGTGATCCAATGCGTGAAAGACCTTCGGCTACATGATCTACCTACTACCTATGGTTTCTTCCAGATTCAGAACCTGACATAGAAGGATATATAAGATTGTTTTGCAAGGATGCATGTAAAGATGTGCCAGCGACACTGAAAAAAAACAAAACAAAACATTATACCTTAATTGAATGATTACCTAGCTACCGGGCAGTTTGTTGCCGTGTGTTCAACAAAAGCTCCATGGAACAATCTGTGCAAAACAACCTGGCCGACGTCTCCCGCAATTGTATGCAATTTATTCTATAAGGGGGTTCTAAGACCCCACAATACTTGTAAAGCACACATATCACCTGCTACAGGATGCAAATACTAATCTTCAAGGCAAACCAATGTGTGGGGAGAAGGTAACATTACGCAAAAATCGCAAAAACATGCAAAAAACGCATTAACCGAACTCCCAGTTGTTCCCACAACTCACAAGAACCTAAACGGATCCTCGAGAAGCATGATTTCAAACACACACTTTCCACTCAACAAAGCCCCAAATCCTTGGCCGCCTTGGCCTTTTCTAATTCTCAGTCACCACACCCTGCCCCTTTTGGGATCCCACTTTCGCTCGCTCGACCAAGCTGCGTTCACGATCACCGGCATGCCCGCATCGATCCGCCACTTCTTCCCCAAGAGCTGCGGCCCACGGGCCTCGCATCGTTTGTTCGACGTCTGTTCTTGTTTTGGGATTGGCGGGTGTCGGTGGCGAAACAAAGAACATCGCGTGCCTTCCGTGTCGGTGGCGGCACGAGGAAAACGCCCTTCGGGCCGCCCAACAAAAACCGAAGGCCGCAAAACGCCAGCGACATCGTCGAATGTCTCTGGAAGTTTCACGGATATCACTGAACGTACGGAAGTGGGTGGCTGCTGTGTTGACTTCAAAGGTAGATTTATATAGAGTTCTAAATGGCTGCTGGTGAATATATGATAATACATGATAATTCACATATCATTGTAACTCTTCAGCTTCTATCTCGGTGGGGGGTGTCCAACAGTGTTTTAACTCTTCAGGTTCTATATGTTGGGGGGGTCCTCTATAGGAAGCCGCCATGGCATATAAGTCGGAGCTTGACAGTCTGCAAACGCTATCGGACATATGAGCTTCTAGGGGGGGTTGACAGGGAAAAGGGACACTGATGGCGATGATGAGGATAAAGCTCCGCCAATTTCTTGCTCTGCTTTTGAAAAGTGCCCCAATACCGTCAACGGGAGGATGCACAGCTTTCTTTGAACCTAGTTATATTCTATATCCCAAATCTATCCTGCAGTTTGTTAATCTCGTGCATGGATGATGATTTCAAGTGCCACGTTCCATATGCCCGTCGACACCTGCCGCATGAAGCCAACGGCAGGCGGCACCAGGCGCATGGTCTCCTACTGTGTCCACAGCTTCGGTGAAAGGAGCTCAACAGGGTTCCAAGCGTCTCGCTCGGTCAACGGCCAAAGAGGAAACAAAAAAAACATGTGAAGTCCGTTGGAGCTCCTCTTCAACAAATTTGCTGAGATAACAAATAACCCTTGATAAGCCTTGCCTTCCATACCTTTGGCAACCAGGACCTGCACCAGAATGCCTCACATGCAACCAGTTGCTCCTTGATGCACCAGTCCAGGTAAGGCATCTGGCTCAAATGCTCCCATCGGATCCTCAGCGACTCCGTCCGTCGCGCAAAGATCGGGAGACGAGCTCGGGTGACGACGAGGACACGCCCCGAGCAGCGTCGGCGGCTCTTCGCGGCCCTTGGCCTTGCAACGTTTGAAAGGTCCGCTCTTCGATCTATCTAGCATGGTCTAGCCAATGTTTGCCGCGTGAGGTCTCAACATGTCTCTACTTGTGCCCCTGAGATGGGGGCACAGGCTTGCTGCGGCTCCCAACCTAGTCCTCCGCCCAGTGGCTGATCGTCTCCTACCACCTCATCGATCTCCTCCATGTGGCCCGGATCAGCAAAACACTGGATACACAAAATGCCTGGGGTGAGAAAAAGAAACGGCCAATCCGAGTCGACCATGTGAACTGTGAGGTTCTTCAGCTTCGTTTGGCGCTTCGTTTGGCCACTTCGCTTCCTGCGACGCAAGCGACGCAAGCGACGCCGACTCGAACGGCCTCACCGCAGCGAGGCCCGGTCCTTCACATCACTCTGTTTGTCTCTAGGGCCGGTCCTTCAACAGCTTGGCCTTGCAGTCCGGGTGGGCGCAAAGGTAGCACAAGCAGGAGGCCATGGCCGCAGCAGTGGAGTCTTGCCCAGCAAACAAGAAGGTCAAAACCTCAGTTCACCAGCACGAGCACGAGCCCAGTGTCGAGCACGAGCACGAGCCTGTTGTTGGGGCGCAGCGTGGGTGGATCCTCCAGCATTTGAAAGTTTGTCTTTTTTTTGGAATGATCGCATCCCAATGCTTGGTCATTGTCTGACCATGTTACGCTCACCATCAGCTGGTCTAGAATCTTGTTCGACTGTGGGTCTTCTTGCGCTGGCCGACTACGTGATGAATGATGACATTGCACCTATAGGAATTGGTTAAGGTAACCTGCTAGTGGTTAAATGCTAGTTTCGGAATTGGACAAACACATGAGGACCAAGCTCAGAACATGCCATGCTTCTGTTGATGACCAACAACAACGGTGGTCTACTGACGCGAGTGGCTCCACTCTCACTCCTCGACATCGTGTGGCTCGGCAACGTCGTGTGGCGCCGAGCGCGTCCAAGCGACGTTGTCCACAATCATCTCCTTAGCTGCGGAGTTTCAGCCGTTGAGCGCCCTGTACATGGGTCAACTTGAGGTGTATTCATCCTGCAATACGATATCCTAGTTACCAGGATTGAAGGAGTATGCGAGTTCCAGCATGATGACCCAAGAATCATCCAGAGCTTGTTGTATGATTCTCGACCATCTGATTATATACCAGGACCTTCCAGGGGTGCCCAATGGAAGCCCCTACATCACTAAGGGACCTCCATTGTTGATGTCTTTGTTGTCACAAAGGCTCTTCGGTCATGCCCTGCCCGGTCTTCGGATCCTGGCGCTTGAAACGCGGGCAACCGTGGCGCCACAGGTGTGGCCTTTGGAAGTGATGGTGCCTTTCTTGAAGGATGATCCTGGAGGGCCTCAAGATGTCTGAAGCACATCTGATGCCTGACATGGTCCTGAGGGCTGGTTGGTGATCAACTCTACAAGACTCTGCCAAACAATGCCGATCTCATAACTTAAAAGTCTACAAAGTACAGGCAAGGCACAGCCACAACAGCTTAACCCATATATCGTAGCTCACCCCCCCCCCCCCCAAAAAAAAACAAACAACTGACTTAGACAACTGCACTCACATCTCCAATGGAGCTCCCATGATCGGAGGCTCGGTCCTTGTCGTGCAGCATCATGTCTAGCAAATCGCGACCTAAGTCATCCGTGGTCGTGGCCGAAGAAACCCTGGTTGTGGTCCTCGGGAGTGTAAACAAGACAAGCGGTCAACGTATACCTAGATCATCGAAACGGCACAAACCATTGGCCTTTTCAGGAACAAATGGCCGCAACAAGACCGGTGTAATGTCCCCAAGTTTGTGCCGAAGATCTGGGTATGACCTACACGGACCTACGCGTCTCTCAAATTCTCTACGCCTTGGAAGATTGCTCCACCGGTGGTTCGTGGGAGTTTTGTGCGTGAGATACAGAGCCTGACCGCTTGATGACGACAAGCTGAGTCCAACAAAAAAGGAGTGATGCTTCCTTTCACTAGTAGCTTCTTGCTCCTAGTAGCGATGGCCTCCACCTAGTAGCTTCTTGCTACTACCAAAAATTGCTATATCCCCCAAGGTGCCACACACCGCTCCCAACTGGGGAAGCATGTCTTAGCATTGCAGCAGTTGTGACCATAAGCCTCAAACCTCTTGGGTCAACAACATGATCTGTGGCTGATGCCCAAAGGTTTCATAACAGTACCAAAAGGAGAATCATGCTCTACAAACGTCAAACTAGACAGGTGCTCAAGATAATTACGTGTAGCATCTGAAACAAACATGTGTGTGTGTCGATCGAGTCTATGGATTCATGCAACGGTCTCATTCAGATCTGCCGTCCCAGCGACGATGATCGTCGCCGGACACTCCTTGCTCCCGGCGCTTGCGGAGGATGTCGACGCCTCACCAGGAGGTTTTAACCCTGAGCACGGGAGCACTAACATCTGAAAGGTCGTTCTCCTCCCTGCAAGGGTTCAAATTCTCTTTAGATTCCCTCCCCAAATCCATCGTTTTGAAGAATGGTTGTTGCATGATGTTGCATGTCCAACCACGTATCATTGGAGAATTGGAGTTTCCAACAACGAGCTTGGTCACTCCGAACCTCATCCGAGGAGCGTGTCATTTAAAAAGTCAACCACAAACATCCACAAACCCCCACAAACATCCACAAACCCATGTTATGTAATATATTCCTGTGAATGGGACCCGGAAAGACTGTTTTCCTCTACTAACCTTTCCACGTGGTACCGGTATTTTTCGACTTGGTGCCAAAGCTTCAGGGCAAGCCCAGTAAGATTTGTTTGCAAAAACTCTGTCTTTGCGGTCCATTCATTAGCCGTGGAGGAGACCCAAAATGGGTTCATTTGTCGTCATCAGTCGCCAAAGTTTTTCGTTGAACACCCTTTGGCCGGTTGTCTTGGAAGCGGCTCTTTTCCGTAAACACACCCTCCCATGCCCAGCTACAAACTGTCCCGGCATGTCTGGATGGTGAGCTCAGCAAAGGACGCAACACTTTTTCCCACCACCGCAAAGACTGTGGCTTCCCTTTGGGAGGCCTTGGCCAACATGGCAGAAGGGACTTTGCTCTGACTTTTAAGCCAAGCAAAAGTGCAAAGGACATATCGTCGGGTGCCCAGAAGAAAAAGGCGCCATCGGCAGCCAGATCTGGTGCTGGACATGTTGCAATCAGAGGTTTGGGTCTCCATCGATGTCCAGACCCTTGCACAATCCTGGGTTGAGTGATTTGTATGTGTACATTCTCACAAGGATGCTCGGCAACTCGACAACTTCAGTGTGCCCTGGATCTTTTGTTTGCCTCCTTTCTGATTCCAGCTGCGAGCAGCAAAGTGCCCCCGCCTCGCATTTCCTTTGAATTTGCCAAAACCTTGTAGCCATAGTATGCATCGATCATCATGGAACAACGACTGCATCAAAAAACCTTCCATAATTTCGACATGTCCACTTTTAAGAGTTCACTGTTCACCGGCGCTTTTGTGCGGTTGGAAATGGAAGCTCCGTTACAGAAAAAGAACACTGAAAGACCTCTTCCGACTCGAACCCATCGATTCTGAGGCATGGATGTCCCCATGTTGCAATGCATTCATCCAACATCGTCCATCGTACATACAGCCCATGTCATACCTCCCAGTTCTCACAGGAACTCCGCATAGAACAACTCAAACACGTGAGGGGGAAAATGTGGGGAAATGGCTTACATTACATTTCCTCTCAGCAATCACATGGCCGCAACACGTTCACATATATTTATTATAGGGGCAAAATGCTTGTTTCAGTCTTTAGGTCTGTCGCATGCACATTCATCGCGATCAAGAGGATTCACTGCAGCAACATGACCATTATAGATCATTATAGTATTACCTGAAATCCATTTGACCTCTGTTTTGACAAGAAAAGACCACATTTTGGGTGGTTGGTGGTCCAAAATAGAGGTCATTCCAGGTATACCTATACACTGACCGGTCACCAGCCCAGCCTCATATGAATGTTGATTATGGAAGATACAATGTGGGAAACACAAAACTCCACGGCGCTAAACCTGAGCATCCCATCAAGCTTCTCTCCTAACTCCCTCTCTGCAGGAGATCAATGTCACCATGGGGACATCTCTTTTGCGCCTCGCGAGTTGCCTCTCGTCGCTCACCGTCTTCGCGGGTTGGGCTGTTTCATGCTGTTCTTATTCCTTCTCTCTTGACTTCCAAGAAACGCAACTGGCTGACCTCCCTACTCCCGGCGAGACTCCCGAACCAAACACATAGACTCCAAACCCCCAACCCATCCCCTCCGATCCTCGCAACCCATGGGGCCACCTTTGGGCCAACCCTTGGTCTCCTGGGCGGTGCGAAGGGTCCCGACGGGTCTGGTGACGGACGCGCTCAGGAGTCGCTGCTGATCCGTTCCTGGATGCTCTGCAGGCTCTGAGCAGCCTCACCTGGCGTCGTTGGAGGACAAGCTGGGGCCCCCAGGCATGGCCGGTGATGTGTGTTCTTTCCTCTTTCCAAGTTGGACCAATATCTCTCAGCCAGTTTGTTTCAAGAACGACTCTGGGTCCGCACCCTACTCCTAAAGCAGCCCGGCCACTCAACTGCCCCTCCAAGTCTTTCATCTTCAGCATCTCCTCGCCAAGGTGGTGCTTCCAAATCACCAGCTTTGTTGGATTCCCGACCTACCTACCGTTAGTCAAATCACATCTCTGCATCTGGTATCTACAATGATCTTCTTTGGTTGCAGACCCCCGCCCCACAAAATGAACCAGCACCACCCAATCTGGATGCTTCGTAGTGTGAAGCACGGGGGAGGTCTTTCAAAGCTCTATCCCTTTGGGTCATGAGCAGCTGCTGCCACTTGTTGCCGGATTCGCAGCGGCACCGGCGGGGGCTGCAACGTCTCCTTCACCACCGGGTGCTGCACCAGCGACGTGGTCAAGTGACGCCAAGTCCTTGGGACCGGCGAAAGAAGCGTCTGCAGGGCAAAGGTCTACGGTCTATGCAAAACTCATCGGGCCGAGACCGGTCTTCTTATTCAGCTTGGCTGCATTCTTAAAGCAATTGGTCCATGTATGGGGCACTTTGTCGAGCTCCAAATCAAGGCACGATGCCCTGGATGATGCCATGGTCAACTTTCATTAACGCAGGTGCTGGGTGCCATATGGCCATATGGTGCCATGGCCAAGCATTCGACAACAAGGTCACGTGTCGTTTCGCCCAGTGCAGTCGAAGCGTCTTGTCCACCTTCCTGAAGGTTTGGATCTCGCCTGGCCGAAGCCGCATTCAAGTCATTCCGTCCATCAACATGATCCCCACCGGGATAGAACAGTTGATCTGTCGGAACCAGGTCTTATATCACTGTCTTGTTTCCGAACCCCCCAGGAAGTCCCTCGATTCCGAACGCCCCCCCCTTCTCCACCACGCTGTCCGGCCCAAACGCAAAGACTCATCAGATCGCTTGCGCTTCCCCGACGAGCAAACGTCC